TCCGATAAGAAGAGGGAAGAGGCTTTGAAAATTTTAGGTGCAGATGCTTTTCTGGTGAGCTCCAATGCAGCTGAGATGGAGGGAGCTGCTAATAGCCTTGACTATATTCTTGACACGGTGCCAGCTTTGCACCCGCTGCGATCGTACCTTTCGCTGCTCAAGGTTGATGGGAAACTCATAATAGTTGCTGCTGTACCTAAGCCTCTGCAGTTGGATGCAGTTGACATAATTCTAGGTACATCCTCTGCTACCATTTCTGTTACATTTTTCCATTGAACTGAGTGAGGTTAGAATATAGAAATGAGAATTTAGGTTGATACAGTAATTTAAATTTTTTGTTGTTATACAGGGAAGAGGACCATTACCGGGAGCTTCATCGGCAGCATGGAAGAAACTCAGGAAATATTGGAGTTCTGGGCAGACAAGGGTTTGAAGTCTTTCATAGAGACTGTAAAGATGGATTATGTTAACGAGGCATTTGAGAGAATGGAAAGGAATGTTGTGAGGTTTAGGTTTGTCCTGGATGTAGCTGGCAGTAACCTGGAATGATCAAAGACAATTCTGTCTACAATAACTCTGCCAATTCAAGAATAAACTTGTGCTTTGTTTCTTATTGTGGATCAGCAAGCTATGGCCCATCGATTGGCCATGGCTAGTGCAATTTTGCAGTTTACAGTTGGCGTTGCAGCTGTCAGCCATTCTACAGTTCTGTATGTGTTTGTATCTATCCCACCCTTGATTTTTATCAAGACTGGATGAAGAAGATTAAATTTTCATGACTGACCAAACAGAGGATTTTCTATAGATATGATAAAGGTCATAATGAATGTCAACGTTGTGGATGCCTACATTAAAATTCCAACTACAATTTTTGTTTCTTTAACCAGAGTTTTTACAAATGCACATCATAAACACAACTATTGCTTGCCAAGGTTACAAGAATAACTTGTGGTATTCAAGCAAGAAATTCTCTTCACAGAGCAACAAGTCCAAAAAAAAAAAAAGAAAAAAAAAAGAATGAATTAATGCTAATGTTACAACAACAAACTGGATGTTCCATGTTTGTGGATTGTCTTGGTGGATGAATCCATAACATGCCAACTAGGTCATGAATCTCTGCACTGCCCTTGCCATCCATCCAAAGATGGCAAGTATGAGAGAGCAGAAGTTAGAGCAGTTTCTGTGGCAATTCAGTCATGTTTCCCCTTGCCTTTCCCTTCAACACTTTTTGAGCCATCATAAGCAGAAAGGAAGAATGTACTCTGATTTTTCTGCAGAAACCTGCATGACCATGAAATATTACTTCTTGTGAAAAAGTGCACCCAGCATATGTTCCGATAAGAAGAGGGAAGAGGCTTTGAAAATTTTAGGTGCAGATGCTTTTCTGGTGAGCTCCAATGCAGCTGAGATGGAGGGAGCTGCTAATAGCCTTGACTATATTCTTGACACGGTGCCAGCTTTGCACCCGCTGCGATCGTACCTTTCGCTGCTCAAGGTTGATGGGAAACTCATAATAGTTGCTGCTGTACCTAAGCCTCTGCAGTTTGATGCAGTTGACATAATTCTAGGTACATCCTCTGCTACCATTTCTGTTACATTTTCCCTTTGAACTGAGTGAGGTTAGAATATAGAAATGAGAATTTAGGTTGATATAGTAATTTAAATTTTGTGTTGTTATACGGGGAAGAGGACCATTACCGGGAGCTTCATCGGCAGCATGGAAGAAACTCAGGAAATATTGGAGTTCTGGGCAGACAAGGGTTTGACGTCTTTCATAGAGACTGTAAAGATGGATTATGTTAACGAGGCATTTGAGAGAATGGAAAGGAATGATGTGAGGTTTAGGTTTGTCCTGGATGTAGCTGGCAGTAACCTGGAATGATCAAAGACAATTCTGTCTACGATAACTCTGCCAATTCAAGAATAAACTTGTGCTTTGATTCTTTGTGGATCAGCAAGCTATGGCCCATCGATTGGCCATGGCTAGTGCAATTTTGCAGTTTGCAGTTTACAGTTGGCGTTGCAGCCGTCAGCCATTCTACAGTTCTATATGTGTTTGTATCTATCCCACCCTTGATTTTTATCAAGACTGGATGAAGAAGATTAAATTTTCATGACTGACCAAACAGAGGATTTTCTATAGATATGATAAAGGTCATAATGAATGTCAACGTTGTGGATGCCTACATTAAAATTCCAACTACAATTTTTGTTTCTTTAACCAGAGTTTTTACAAATGCACATCATAAACACAACTATTGCTTGCCAAGGTTACAAGAATAACTTGTGGTATTCAAGCAAGAAATTCTCTTCACAGAGCAACAAGTCCAAAAAAAAAAAAAGGAAAAAAAAAAGAATGAATTAATGCTAATGTTACAACAACAAACTGGATGTTCCATGTTTGTGGATTGTCTTGGTGGATGAATCCATAACATGCCAACTAGGTCATGAATCTCTGCACTGCCCTTGCCATCCATCCAAAGATGGCAAGTATGAGAGAGCAGAAGTTAGAGCAGTTTCTGTGGCAATTCAGTCATGTTTCCCCTTGCCTTTCCCTTCAACACTTTTTGAGCCATCATAAGCAGAGAGGAAGAATGTACTCTGATTTTTCTGCAGAAACCTGCATGACCATGAAATATTACTTCTTGTGAAAAAGTGCACCCAGCATATGTTTAGGAAGAACACGGGAATAAATAAATGACAAAGTGCACATGTAAATTCTAGTGCATCATAAATACTCGAAAGGTAAAACAAGAGTTCCCATCCCAAAAGTAGAGAGAGAGAGAGAGAGAGAGAGAGGGGGTTTAAAAGATTTTGATCCTCTAGTAGAATTCACCGTATAATAATACAATCACATATAAAAAATGACTTGCAAATGCACAACTAATTTTTCAGTTCAAAGGAATAGTCAAGAAGAAGCTAAATGTGACGACGTCGATGATGCATAAGTTTTCATCTAGCCTTGCTGAAACCAAAATTGAGAAAACGGAAATATCTCCAAATGAGATTTACATAAAGTAAAAGGTTTGAAGGCGTACTTGAGAAAATCAAGTAATTTCTGCTGTAAGCGGGTCTGTGTTTCCTCCTCAATGTTGACATAAGCCAATAGCTCTGGTAACTTTACTGCAAACACCAGAAAGTTATCACGATTGCATTCAAATTCTAAAATATGACAACTTTCATTACAAAACATATTTTACTTTGAAAGAAATGATTTGCACAAATCATCTCATGATACGGTAATCAAATCAGAAGAGACTTCTTATACAAACCACGAGATTCAGTGAGTTCTAAAAGCAGAGGGGACACATTAGGATTGCAAAATCAACAGCAAGGGCTAAATTTCTCCCAAAAGTTGTCACCACCACAGAAAATGACTAAATTATGGATGAGAAATTTATTCATTCTAAACAGATCGAATAATACTAGGAGCAGCGTCCTTAAGCATTGCAAGAAGCGATTCCCTTGAAAAACAAAATTCACTTCATATGTAAAACAACTTTCAAGTTAAGGTCCTTTCTTGAGGATAATTGTGTTGGATTTTCAAAGAAAGCAATTATAGAAGTTGCGAGGACTATAAATGCCTAGCTATAGGTATCTTTCCCTTCTTCCTCAAACCTCAACCTTCGCAAACCCAAGCTTGTCCTGTCCCACCAAAGCAAAGGCCCAGGAGACCTAACAGGATAGTAATGCTTCTGAGCCAGCAATGATTAAATTCAATGCAAGAGACATCAAAAGCACACATTTACAAGAATCAACCGGCCAGCCTCCGTTCTTATCAAACATAGCACGTCAAAAACATTACAATGACAACCAGACAAGACAAAAAATCATAAGTCCATAACATTTCTAATAACTGACACTTATTGGTGAACATACCAAAGAGTCGTAGTAAATGTTCAGCACCATATATTGTTGATGGAGAGACATCACCTACAACTGTTTCTTGATACTGTTTGCGTTCCTTTTTGTATAAGAGCATCACTGGCAATGCTTTGTCAAAGTAACATCGTATTCCTTTCAGGACTTCACCTACTGAATCAGTCACCCTGTATTCAAGAAAGCATAGTCCATGCCAATCACCACCATCTTACATCATCGTATTCCTTTCAGGACTTCACCTACTGAATCAGTCACCCTGTATTCAAGAAAGCATAGTCCATGCCAATCACCACCATGTACATTAAAACTCCAAAACTACATCTTACATTACACACACAAGCTGCAAGATTACAGTACCTAAAAAAGAAAAAAATTGAATGGGGCCTACTTATATAGAGTTAATTAAATCATCGGACATCATATGTCAAAATACAATAATGAATCCATAGGGCAGCATACTTATATATGTCAGAACTAAATAATAGAAACAGCAATTCAAATAACAAGCACAGGAAAGAAAAAGAACAAAAGCTAATACAAGGATAGAAAATCAACTTCTATGCAATAGGCTTGGCTAAACTTACTTGCCATCCTTCTTTGTCCTGTAGTCGAGGTACTTCTGCAAAATGTCATCTACAGTTGGAGAACGAGGAAGTTTAACAAGCTGCAGAAACAGAATTCTTCAGCAATCAATAAATAATGAAACATTTAAAAGTATCATTGAAAGGCTGGAAGAACCAAATACATTTCTGAAAGTCATTTAACTACGAAACCATCATCCTACATAATTGTCAGAAGAAGTTGCTTCTAACAGTTCATGTCTACCTTATCCTGCTGAGAAATGAATTCCCAATCATCAACAAGTTGCTTCCTTAGTGTTGGAGGAATTTGAATCTTGACAAGCTTTTCCAGGGACACAATGTCCTTCTAACAATTATAGAACCCACAATTACTCCACCATCAAAGAAAGGTTAATAAGAAAACTTAAAAAGATCTAAAGAGTTCTGGAAGGAAGCATCTATCATTTGTGAGTAAACACACATGCAGCTTGGCACAGACAAATATAAAAATTTAGCAGGGATAGCTGCATTTCCGTGTTTCTTATTTTCATTTTCTTTTTTATTAGAAGGGCTCAAAGGACCAGCACTATAAGCATTTAAAGCTTCAGAAAAGAAACACTGAGTATCAATTTTATGCGCACAAGCCTATCACACACAGAAAAATGGAAGTAAGGAGTAAAGATGGCAAGTGAGAACAACACATCTGACAGCTACCAAGGAACTGGGAAAAAAAATGCAAGTAGAATATTTAATCCTAATAAATGCCACACCTCAGCACCTAAGTCATTCTTCCGCTTCTTCCCCTTTGTCACTGCAATAAATTTAATATTAACTCTTTAAGAAATGCAGGTATTGTCTTTTACAACATGCGTTTTTCAAGAATAAAATATTAAAGATAAAATATCAGAAAGTAAATTGTACCATTGTTCTTGTGGTCTTCTTTCTCTGCTTTTGCATCTACAAAAATTCAACACACAGTAACTAGTATCAACAGAAAACACAACAAAAACAAAAATCATTGATAACAAGTAAGGATGTACAAAGGATGATAGGCAGTGAGAAAACTGCTATTGGAGCCTTTGCAGCACTAAAACTAAAGAAAAAAACAAAGAGCAAAGCTAACCAGAAGAACTTTTTGGCTTTGTTTGAGCTGAGCGTCCTGATTTTGTATTCTTGTCCACACCTTGTTTCTTGTCAAGAGCTTGCTGCTTCATGATATTATCTTCAGTATTTTTCAACAGGCGATCCCCACCTACCCATTCGTCCCAACTGTTGGCAAGA